TGCGTATTTCAACAACCCACTGACTTACATGGAATAGAATGAATATTCCTGAAACTGGTGCCATGCCAAAAAGGTCGTTTGGATAGAGTTTAGACCAAAAGAACTCATCACCAGCGGGAGAAGTTGCATTACTAGGGAATAGAGGTTTAATGACAGTAAGATGCTTCGCTCAGATGGTCAGTAAACCAGCTGTGCTGTCTCTTCACTTTGAGGAAGAAGGTTAGAAACGGTCAGAACCGAAAATCATACATCCTATTGAATCATACAGCTTGATTCCACACTGTATTTTTGGTACAAGTATGGAATTTTCAGTATGGATATCTGTAGCCCAAGTTTTGCAGGCCGACCATAGATATTAGGTGTGCGTCGGCAGAGAATCAAACTCTGGACCATGTGCATGATCGGCGAGAGTCCTAACCGCCACCGACGCACAAGCCCTGCTGTCACATCACATCAGTTCTTTTTCCGTTTCGGGCATCTCAATTTAGTCACTCATGTTACAAGACACGAATTCAGGCGATAGGCTTCTTTACTAGATTTATCACTAAATCGATAAAACATTGTTTTCTTAAGTTTGCAAACTACACACAAACATATACATATACACAACTGGATTTAGGTAATTTTAGTGCTGTCCTTTTGTTCTAGCCTATAGTGCTATAGAGAGGAGTTCATTAATTTGCATTTTAATTGACATATGGCTTATTAGTTTGATCAACCAACTGTCAATCGTCACCACCAATGTGTTACAGGTTCTATCCTACGTGTTAAGTGGTTGAATATAAGTAATGAGCAATATTGAGGTTAGGTTGACGTAGGATTTAGCTTGGAATACAGTTGGTGGTGGTTAAACCAAAACCTGACATAAAGCCATGATGTCTTTGAATGCTGATTTGAAAAATGCAGGGAGTTGCAGAACGCCTGATTGGAGGAGTCCTCAGGCTGCTAAGAAGCAGTGGCTAGGGACTATTGGTTATATGGCTCAAAAACGCTTAAATGCATTCACTTTCTTTGTAATTTCCCCTATCTATGAAACTCGTCATGCTACTTTACTTTCTCCCTAACATTTCTGTTCATTATTATTCGTTTGAATTTCTTTTTTCCTCTCTTTTGCCTACCTTTGTGTGTTATATGGAGTGTGCCAACTTCACTTGCTGTACTTTCGCACAAAGTTCTACGTTAGAAGTCAGTCAATTAATGTGCCAGAGGTAAGAATTTCCCAATATTTACACGTATTCGTGTAATGAAGCGTAAATATGTATTATGGTGTGTAGGTGTTGAATATACCTTCAATCTACACAAGCTAGGCGGTAGACCATTTTTATTAATTGCATCAGTGGGCCACAGCTTCGTTGATACTGATCAACCAACAAACGTATCACTACATATTAGCTAAAACCCTAAAGACTGGTTAGTGAACAAATAATATGCATTTAGGTAACCTGTGTTTTATTAGGTTTTACAGTTATATGTCTATATTAATTAGAGAATCATTGTTATTGACAGTAACGTTAAATGTTTTCTAAATAATATCGAATCAATAAAATGAACAGATTACAGTTCAAAAGCATCAGTAAGTGATAATATGCGTCAATATAACACTAAAATGAATATCACATAAATAAAAGTAATATAGAATTAATGAATTCATAGGTTTCACAGAAGACCAAAGTAGCCATAGTCGTATAGACAGACTTCCAGCTACAGGGTCAGAGCTATTCCTTTAAAAGATGAATCAAAGACGAACTTAAGGCCGTATCCGTAACGTTAATTGAAATTTCTCTTATTCCTTTACGTTCTCAGTAGAACATAGGGCTTAAAGATAGAGCTTTGAGGTTTTAGTAGCAGTGATGTTTCATTTTAACGGGATTGCCGTTGCTGGTCTCACGCCCAACCTTCCCTCTTTACCAGTCTTATTACTAGCTTGACGAGGTAAAAGAGTGCCCCGGACCACATACGTGGTTGGTGAGCATTCTACTATTGTGTCACCGATGAATGATTAAAAAGTTAGCCTGATAAGTTAGTTCATCATGAAGCTCATGGTCAAGATAGCAGAAAGGGATGCGTCTATATATGTTAACAAGAAGCAAATATATATATGACTGCAATTCAGTGGGGATGTACCAAGCAAAATAATGATCAACAAGTTAAGACGCTTGATTCAAAGATACCTTAGAACTGTAGTCCATTGATATTATTGATTCCATGTCATTTAGAAAAAATAAATGTTTGAACAAAGTAAGAACAACAAGTATACAAGGATTATATGAGCTCATCTTTTATTATTTCGAGGATTCTTCTCAACTGGTTACAACCTGACCGATAAAAAATATGAATTACATTAAAGATTTGAACATACTTTTTCACGACCATAAGGAGTAATTGGTAGGAAGTAAAAGTAACATTAGTCCGGAATGATTTAACTGAGTAAGAGTTACAGGCACTGACTATTTATAAAACACCTGAGTACCAATGAGATGCTCACTGGCGACTAGCCCTATTCAGGTAGGTTGTTACCTGGGTTCCAGTGGGAAGTCGTGAGCAGTAGGGTGCAGCTGGTCGGGTGTGAGGACAAATACTCACCGAAGAAATTGGCTAGCGGTCGCGCTACGTCATGAATTGGCAGAAGTTAGAATTCAAGGACCATTGGATCGGGTCCCAGTGGCTTAATGGTATACAAGCTCGCCTTGTAACCGGAAGGTCCTGGGTTCGAATCCCGGTGGGTGCGTACTGCTGAAGAGTCCCAAACTAGGACGAAACAGCTGTCCAGTACTCCCAGGTTTTCCAATGGTTCTCTAACTAATGTCAGCTCATGATGAAATCCCTACAAACCAACACCTGAGTATTTTATAGAATAATAAGACAATTAGGCTTGGAAACAAAAACCAGGGTTGCGTATATATATATATATATATATATATATATATATATATATAGAAACAAGGTTTAGTTAGAAAGAGCATAAGAAAAAAGTGAATTTCGTAACTAAAGAAAATGTCTTTTCTAGTAGCCAATAGAAAAAGAAAATAACACGGTAGCGTAGGCCATGTTTAGATGAGAGAGTAGGGTTTTCTAAACAAGAAAAAGGGTGACTCATAAAAGTTGTATATTTTGTTATCACCAGTGCAGTGCAAAATTCACCACTGTCTCTTTCTGCATACATAGATTTGGTTTAAGTCGTTTGACGGCAATTGCTTCAACAAGGCGTAGAAAGCTAGGTTTCTTTTGTTTGTTGATTACTTTGAACGACTTCAGGTTGTCTACAATATGACCAGTGTCCAATAGGTGACACGCAATCGCAATGTTTAATGGTTGCGGACCTTCCAGTCTCAGGTTCTTTGGTATGTGTTCAGAAATGCAGACAATAACCTTTCTCTCTGCTCTTCCAATGTATTTGCTTTGGCACGTGCATATAAATTGGTAGACACAGTTGGAGGTAACATGAGCTGGGTATTTGTCCACTTTTGATTGGCTCAAACAACTATTTGTGGAAAAGTATGTTCATATCTTTAATGTAATTCATATCTTTAACGTTCAGGTTGTAACCAGTTGAGAAGAATCCTCGAAATAATAAAAGATGAGCTCATATAATCCCTGTACACTTGTTGTTCTTGCTTTATTCAAGTTTATTAATGGGAAGACTTGCATGGATTTTTTAATAAATGATTGGACACCAATTAAGTGATGTAATGTTTCTAGTCCTTTGCTTACTGCAGACTGAATTCTATCACAGTCAAGTTTACCATATAGCCACTATTCTAGGTGGCTTGCTATCACGGTGCACTTGGAATTATTGATATTAAGTGTTTGGAGGCGATCAGCAGGAAGCCTTACACCTGGGTACCGTTGGCAGTCGCAATTCAGCAAGGCGTATCTGCAACCTTGAAGGAATTCATATCCCTTCTGAGATTCGAGGTCGCGTCGCCAATTTATCTTGTTAATAACAATAATTGATCAAGTAATTATGGATGTATAAAACCGTAGAACCTGAAGAAGTTACCGCAGTAAATATTCTTTGTCCAATAATAATCCGTCTTAAGATTTTAAATGGGAATCTTAAGTCAATTAAGACTATAAATACTATAAAATACAACAACTAACATCTAGTCAAAATAAGTTTCTGCTGTACTATTTTTACAATGTTACTTTTATATTTTTTAAAATATCACATTGTTATAAAATAAGGAGACAGACTTAAATTTTCTTTCCTCTTCTCTTCATTCTAATATTTAACAACCAATCATGTGTGCAAACAAAAAGAAACAAAAAGCCTTGAATGGACATCGCTTATTGGTGCTTGATCAGCAAATAGCAAAATGATCTCTACCACTTATAAGATTAAATGACTTTGAACATCCAATGATTTTTGCGAAAATTCCCATTCAGACACTTACAAGACAGAAACAAGAAAGGTCGAGCAAAAGACATTCACATTTTCGACAACTTCCTCATTTGGACAGGAAACTCTGTCCTGTAACTAGTCACTAGTGAGAAGATGCAACCAGTGGGATCCATCTTGTCGGAAGTGAGGAAAAATATTCGCCATGGATGATACTGGCTGATGCCAGTCGCGCTAAAATCACGAATTGGTAGGTGTTAGAATTAACAGGCCAGCCATTGAGTTGCGTCCCAGTGGCTGAATATTCTACGAGCTTGCCTTGTTGTCGGAAGGCTCTGGATTCGGGTGAGTACTGCCGACGAGTCCCAAACTAGGACGAAACAAGTGTTCAGGATATTTAATTATCACAACTTGTTTAAAATCTTAAATCCAACTTTCTGTCTCTCTCTCTCTCTCTATGTTATATATATATATATATATATATATATATATATATATACCAAACTGTTGTACAAGTATGTGTACCTTAAGTCATGTGTAACCACTCATTTCCCTCCCTCCACCCCGCCCCCCCCCACCCATCGGAGGTAAATCAAGAAACATTGGACGAAATACAAAATATAATAATAAGAAAACCTTTTTCATTCATTTTACCACTCACGTGCATAACTTGAAGATAATACTTTCAAATACTAGTACAGGACCAGTACTACCCATAATAGTTAGCGGTTGTCCAGAAAATAAAGCATAGGTTATGCCGACAACAGCACCCGATAGGATACTTTCAATAGTCCCCTAAAATATAATAATAACAATAATAATTCCTCTCTGAAAATTCGTGAAACATTTATATAGTTTTTAAAAATAGTTCTTTATTTTTTACTGGAAGAAAGCAACAACTATATGTATATATAATGGTGGCTCAATGGTCCAATACTTATCCGAGGTTCGATCCTCAACCGACGCATTTATATAAAATCCTCTAGGCGATTTTTCTAGCCGATAGTGAGCCAAGCAAAAAAAGAGTGACATTGGGACGTCAGGTTAGCTGCTCTATACCTCGTAGAAAGATAGAACACCACCACTGCTGAATCTTTAAAATAGGTTGAAGCCCTATGTTCCACACACTTGAAACGCAAAGAATGTGAAGTGAAAATCTAGATCACATAGGGATTCAGATCAGCAGGGGCTCCTGGGGATGATTAGTCTAGTAGCCAACCAACTAACTGCCAACTGTGTCAACATTATTTCAAGAATGACGAGAGATAATGACCAGCTATCATTCAAATGAATAATACGACGTGACTGTCCATTTATGATCTTGCTAGATACACCCCCAACTGAGTGCTGTTCTCCATCCATTCATTTTAATCACGGTGAATTAAGGGGAAGACAGCAGCTGAGTAATTAAAACTGATGGTCAGACTAATTATGAGAAACACGCTAAAGATACCTTTGGTGTAACAAAAAAAGCAGAAAATAACTCATTGATATATTTATGAGAAAAAAACACATAAATGGAATAGTTTAAAAGTGTTTATTTTATTGTGGATATTTCTTAGCAAAATTGATTCGTCCTAATTTTGGGGTATATGAGTTCCATTGAATGGATACCCCTAAATGGCCTCGATTTTCAATCTAAATTTACTTCTTCGTTAATAGAAACACAGTGTAAACAAATGATATCAAAAATCATACCCTGTGCTACAAAATGTAGCTCGTTAGTCTCTAGCATAGACAAGAAATATTTTAATTACAAGTCAGGTTGAAGTTTTGGTAGAAATACCAGAAGTAGATTTAGCTGATGTATCCTAAAACAGGAGAAAACACATAGATTCACCGCTAGCTACCAATAAATATGAAGTCTAAAAGTGTTTCACCACTAAATTCAACGAACCCCCCATAAAAAGACACGATTCTTAAGTGAAAAACGTCGAAAGGACTAATCTTTCCATTATCCTATATACTACTGATTGACTGAGATGAGTAGTCGTATACCAACCACATCACCAACTATTAGTGCTTGCCAGCCAGCCAGAAGTCATCTAAACACCGAATGGCCAATTCGCTCGTTTGGGACCGAGTTCATTAGCACTGTACCCACTTCGATTCAGCTCCCATGGTCGAATCAGTTGAAGGCACCTGATTCTTGACTAGCTAATCAGGCGGACCCGTAATACTATAAATCAAATTAGCAATTTGTTAATTAATCCTCCTGAGTATGCTGAGGTATAAATACCTTTTTACCTTAGCAGGGATCGCTGGCCTTACGCTCTACTCTCTCCCTCTCTCTCTCTCTAATTTCGGGGTCACTACCGGTTAGACGATATTTAGAAGTATGTCGACCAGGATTCGAACCTTGACCATGTGAGTAATTGGCGAGCATTCAACCAATAAACCATCGATGTATATCTTTATTATATTCAATGAATTACATCATTATATACATTGGAGTGAGGCTTTTTAAGTGGGAACCGGAGCATGACTAAAATGAGGTTTTATTTATTAAGTGTAGGACAATACTGCTTTCTGTTTACATTTAGCTTAAACATACACTGCGTATCTTTTCGACGATTTCATATATATATGTAATATACAAGAGAACTGATTGTTATTGTCTATTGTAATTCACATATATATACACGATTGTATAGGTATGAAAATGAAATCGTCGAAAAGAGAATTTTATTGGCCGAATAATAATAATAATAAAAAGAATCAACTTACTAGGTAACCTCCAGTTGCTTGAGCCAATAACCCACCAAATGTGATGATAGGTGTTAAACAAGCAAAGTATAAGAAGATAAAACTTGCACAACACTGGACATGTATAGCATCCGTGAAATCACTTATGTAGTGTGGAGCACGACGTTTAATATCTTGTATAAGCCCACCGAAAATACTGAATATATACAGACACGGTGTATATTATGTATAGGAAAAGGAGAGAGAAAGAGAGTGGAGACATTAAAAAGAATAGCTATCACCATCAAATTTAATTTAATATATTTAAAGATTAGTTACAGATTTGGTCACAAGCTAACACATCAGTTAGAAAATCAGACAGTACTGAACAATCATTCTCTCTTAGTTCGGGACTCTTCATCAGTACGTACTCATGACTCCACCAGAGTTCGAACTCACGTCCTTCCGGTTACAAGGAGAATCGTATACCATTCACCCAATCCAAAGGCCTATAGATTCCAACTTCTGCCCGTTCTTAGTGCATATATATACATAACTATTCTCTTGCCTAGCTTGCTGAACTTTTTCAGGTCCCTACTGTGAGGAATCCCAGGCTGGGAAGAAACATTCTTCTATTTCTCTCAAGTTTTCCTTCAATGACTCTCTCTAACTGAATTCAACTCGTAATCAAACTTGTAACCAGTCAAATCCCTTGAAAACCAACACTTCGTAAAGAATAATCAGTTCAAGAATATATATGAATAAACTACCATTTAAACATCTTCATCAGCGAGAATTGATTTGGAAGAGGGGAGTTAGGCTTTGGTGAAATCAAAACATTGCATCAATTTATAAAATATTTGACTGATTGTTTCGATCATGTAGGAAGATAGGTAGGTGTAGACTGTTTGGCTGTGGAGTCCTTTGAAACGTTAAGAGCCATCATTATCTCAGAAATGTTTATGGTAGAGCTGAGAAAATTGTTCTCAACTAGTGCAGAGATGTTCACTCTTCTTTGTGTTGTGAGATCTCAGACATACATTGCATTTTCATTAATCTTCATGTGTAATTATTCTTTCTACAATACACATTTTCGTTCATTACGGGTTTTTCATTAAATATTTTATGAAAAGTGGAAAGTTAAACGGATGTATGTCAAGTCAATTAATTCTTCTATGTACTTCCGAGAATTGGCGTATGAGTCACGGAAATTATTTCCAGAAAGGCTACTGTAGACTGGCTTCATATTGAAAATCACACAGACAGGAAGAATAAGTATGAAGGAGTCTTGGCAACGAATCAACCAAGAATCTAAGTAGAAGGAAGTGGAGATGATGACTGATGTGCTTATGAACAATAGATATTTGTGTTCGAAACGTTTCCTAATAAATAATACTATTTCACTGTGTGATATATTTACTAAACGAATTATTAAGGATGTTACAGAGATGTACTGCTGAAGCCCAAATTTCGACTAGAAACCCAAGGAAATAATAATAATAATACACTGCTTATTACGATGAATAAGGCTGAACACTATTTCATCAACACACCAAATGGGATCCAATCTTTACAGAATCTATATTAGGAAGTCGTGCAAGTGAGAGTTAATTTATATAATAGTGTAAAATATGCTGTGATACTAATGATTCTACTGTAGACACATGTGCTGATTACATGCTTATTACGTTGTTTCATCTCTAAATCTAATGTTGCTTAACAATCCACTTGGATTTAAATAGAGATGGTAATACGCGTAGGTGAGGCATGATGATGATGCTCCTTAAATGAAGCAAGTCTCGAATCCCTAACCTAATGATTGAAAGTCATTTAAACCGATGAGCTTAGACATAAACAGCAAGTGAATTCATGGATTGAGGGCATGTTTTCGGCCTGAATATTCTCCTAATTGTATTCCAGCATAAAAATAAATCGGTCGCTGACCCTCTTTCCATAACACTAAGTCTACTCTGATTAATATGTATCCACTGAAATAAGGAGTTAGATGAAGACGCTTATGGATAAAAAAACTGTACTCCTTTTCATTTCTTTTAATCTCGGTATTCATGCTTCACAATTATGCAGACATACAATAGACACTCCATTTGTACGCGTATGAGGATATGCAGTTGATACCAAAGATGAAGTATGTTGGTGAATGCCAAATGAAATTTGCATATCCGTGGCACAATTTCATCAGTAACTGAAGTGGAAGAACCTCGCAAAGAAATAAAATGGTCAGTACATACAGTCACTTCACTGTATCTCATTAACCCTGGGAATCCGTGCACCAGCATTGCAATATCGTCTCGCACTCCTAAATAGGAAACGGCATGAGAATCATGTCAGACTGCGGCCTCTTCAGCATACATCCGTAGTCCCTGGCTAGTTCTCTGCTTGTCAGAGTTCTTTTCTTGCCTATCATCTCTGACTGGCAATCTGATCTCTAATATCATTGAACGAAAAGAAACCGGAGGTAAAGTTCAAAGTACAGACCTTGGCGGCCTGTTTGACACCTGGGCTACCTTTTCCTGCATCTACATATTACATCTAATAGTCATGTTTTCATTCCTAATTTTAATAAAATATGATTACAAATCGCATAAAATACAGTAATTCATTCATTAAACGTTTTAAACCATATGACTTTCATGCATCTAATAAATCTAAGAGAAAACATCACGCTGGCTGGCAGCGTGCACTTAAACAGACACCTTTATATCGTACAACCATTCCTGTTATTGTCACTTCAAACTGCCGTTCACTTCCCAACAAAATTATGCATCTCCAGTCTCTCTTATCATCTGATACTTATCACAATACGGCGATTGTTGCATTACAAGAAACATGGCTCCATGAACTCTATGATGACAATCTGGTTTCCCTAAATGGTTTTACATTGTTTAGACAAGATCGACTATGCTCCAGAAAGAAAAGAGGTGGAGGTGTTGCAACTTTCATTCATTCTCAATGGTCAACTTCAAATAATGTATGTTTTTCTTACTCTAATGACTTTATTGATTGTATAACGGTCAAATGCCGCCCGAAACACTTATCCAAGTTTAAATACGTCTTCATCTCTAACATTTATGTTACTCCTGGCTGTTCTGCCTCTGATCTATCTGATTTTGCTGATGAATTCACTGAATTCGCCGTTACACATCTTGAAAACTCTTTATCAGTTGTCACAGGAGATTTTAACTGCTGTGATTGTTCTTTCCTCGTATCATTAGGTCATGCCAATATTGTTAAATTCCCTACTCGACTTGATAAAACTCTTGACCTAGTGTTCATTAATGATGAGGAAATATATGAAGTACGCAGACGTGCTCCTATCATGAACTCAGATCATTGTATTATTCGGATATTACCTAAGATATACAGCAGATCTCACTTTAATATCTTCTCAAATCTGTCCAAAAAAACACAGCAAAGGTGTTACTCACAAGAAAATATGCTCAAACTAAGATGTATGCTAAATGACACTAACTGGGAACTTTTCAACGAACACAAACTGGATGATACTATTTCCAATTTGACTATCTTAAATTCTGTCTTGATATATGCTGTCCAAAACAGATAATTTTCAAAAGAATGGATCGTTTTTCTTCCCCTCATCTCAAAAAACTTCGTAGAGAAAAAGAGAAGCTGTACAAGACAAAGAATAAATCTGGTCTTAAGAAGATAAACACCCAAATTAAATCTGAAATCAAGAGACTAAACAACATTTATAATCAAACAATACTATCTTGTAAAACCTCAGAAAACATATGGAAGCTTTTTAGAGAAATTACTGGTTGTGGTAAGCATAATAATTTTGCCTCTTCTATTGATGTAAATACTCTCAATAGATCTTTCATCCGCCCTCCAAATGTCCCTTCTGCCTTCAATTTAACTAATAACACGACCAGTGACTTTCATCGTTTCAATACTTCTGATGTTCTTAAATGTTTGAAATCTCTTAAACCTTCCCAGAGTCTAGGCCCTGATGGTATACCTGCCATTGTTTTAAAGAAATGTGCTGATATTTTAAGTAACCCACTTACAAGCATTTTCAATACTTCTTTTTCTAATAATGTTGTACCTTCTCTGTGGAAAGATATTAAAATCATCCCTGTACCCAAGTCTGGTTCTGGAGATAGTGTTAAGTTTAGACCAATTGCCATTACCTCTCCTTTTTGAAACTGATGGAGAAATTACTGTTACAAAAACTCATTCCCTCCCTAAGCTTCTCAAATGATCCAAAGCAGTTTGCTTACAAACAGGGTAGAAGTACTTTGGATGCTGCTGCTGTGTTTCATCACAACATTGTATCCTCCTTAGACAAAGGGGCCAAGTATGTCCGTTGTACTTTCCTTGATTACACATCTGCTTTTGACTCTGTACCTAGAGGCCTTTTGTTAAACAAGCTTAGCCTTACACAAACTGAGTCCTGGGCTATCAACTGGCTGCACTCTTACTTCTCCAATAGGATGCAGTACACGGTATATAATGGTGTAGCTTCCTCTCCTTTGCTTACTGAAGCTGGTGTTCCTCAGGGTGCTGTTCTCTCGCCGTTTCTCTTTTCCTTCTTCTTACATGACTTACCTCTCTCAGACGAAATCAACTTCGTCAAATATGCAGATGACCTGACTGTTTCGCTTCCCGTTAAGTCTCAGTCAGACTGCTTCAAATTAAATAGCTTCCTGTCGGACATCAGTCAGTGGTCTAAACTAAATGGCCTCACGCTGAATCCCTCAAAATGCCAGACTGTCGACTTCTCCTTTAGGCATAAACGAGATCTACAAACACTAGTAAGCACTCATGAAGCCTGTAGAATTGAGGGGACTATAATTGAAACAAAGTCTAATGCAAAATACCTCGGATTAGTTATATCTTCCGACCTTACCTGGTCATCTCATATCCAAATGATTTCCAAGAAAGTGTTTCGTCTAACCTACTACATTAAGAAACTCAGACTAACTGGAGTCCCTCAACCTCTGCTTTCACAATTTGTCAACTCTCGTATCCTACCTATTCTACTTTACTGTTCCCCGTTAGTCTTTCCTGGGTTACTGAAAAAGGACTATACCATCCTGAGAAGGATGTTGAAGGTAGTTAGTAGGACTAGCGGTGTAAAACTCAGTCAGCTCGTCACAACATTAGTGGATAAGCATCTGAATACATGCGAGAAATGGTCTAAAACCATACTCTCCGACCCCAACTCTCTCCTTGCATCTCATCAGGTAGAACCAGAAATCAGTACAAAATAATATATGCTCGTACAACCAAGTATAGGAACTCAACGATACCATATTTGGCCCGTGTTCTAAGTGACAGAGACAATGTTAAGCGTGAAACCTATGACTTGCTTTGTTGTTAATAACATAATTTTGGCCCTTTTATTTCTCTCTTATTTGTACTCTATAGTGAACAACCTTCTTAAACATACTTAGCTACTTAAATTATTATCATTGGCTTACTTTTTTTACTTTACTCTATTCCTTCTTTTGTGTATCTACTGGGTCCGACTATATTATCACTATGATTATTACAAAATTGTCCTGTCATTAACCATCATGTAATATTAGTTTTGTGGTTGTTCTTTGTTCGGCACTATTTAACTGACAATCTTGTTTGTGAACGCCACTATCACCATCTTAAAAAATTTTGTATTATGCATGATTCCTCACACTACCACTACAAACACCGCATTAGTGCTGACAATAAAAAAACACAACCTGAAATGTTTATTTTATGATTGTTTAGTGTTGTTCAATCAAATTAACTGATCATCTTGGCTATAAACATTCTTAAGAACATCTCATAATTTCTTGTATGATTATAGCTGTTACTGTTCACCACGCATACACATATCATAGCTTCCACTAACCAATACTGAAATATTTTTTCATTATTTGTGTTTATTTTCCTTTCTACTTGGCATTTTTATTTGCATTTTTTCTTATGTTTTTTTTTGTTATTTCTGTGTCACCACCCAGTTACCAAGGCAAAATGAAGTAGGTTGAATAGAAATCGAACCTGGGACTGTTTGGCTAGAAGCTGAGTGTCTAAGTCAGTGAGACATTTCCAAGTGGGCAAGAATAAAGATGGATTAGGGCTGAAGGTATTCTGTATATTGGTCAGTAATTCGAATATAATGTATGATATCTATGTGAATTTCGTAACCAGTCAGAGATCATTGAAAACCTGGTAGCCTTACTAGGGAGAGGATATTTTGTCCTAGTTTGTGACGCTTTAGTTGTACGCGCACACAATCGCACAACAAATCGGACCAGAGACCTTCAGGTTACGAAAAATATATTGAGGGAATATCCTTATCTCGACAAAAAGTCACATAATCTAAATACCAGTCTGAAGCTCATCGATGGCTGCTGACTGCATGGATGTTTTGAAGCTGTCTTGAGGAAGTCATGGCATCACGTCAAAGTAAAGTGAGTGATCATTGAAGGCATTGGCCAAGGATAGAGTTATATCACTAAAAGACAGAAATTAGAATATACAGGTAACTAAAATCAAGCCCGAATAGCTGGAAGGTGAACGAGTTTGACGTCGTGATCTAGATGTCGTGGATTCGATACTTGGGAGGATTACGGGAGCGCATTCTTAAAGAGTTCCAAAAGCAGGACGGAACAGGTGTTCGATGTCCCTTGGTCTTCAGTGATCTTTCTTACAGATGTTAGTTTGTAAGGAAATCTATACTGAAATAAATTCAAATCCTTAAAACTGAAACTTATAATCTAAATGATGCAGAGAGTAATACAATTTAGCTACTATGCGAAGGATTTGACAGAAAAAAGGTGGGATAACCATATTAAACAACTCTTAAATTTCCAGGCGATGAAATGGGGTTCGAATCCATGGTGTACTTGTACTGGTTACAGAGTACCTTCGAACGACAAGGTTAATAGGTTAGTGACAGAAAAATGCTTCAAGAGCGAGTATTTTATTATTATTATTATTATTACCACTAATAATAATAATAACGAGTGAAAGAATACTCACCGGCCAGTTCGATTTAATGCGGGGTCATGACCATGACCACCAGCATGATCATCAGCCCCACCTCCGCCACCTCCAGACTCTATATTTGTTAACTCCAAACGACTACCAGGACTACGAGCAAGATCTGTTTTTGACTTATGCATTGAATCACCTAGACTAATAGGCTTCGTAGAACCATCCGCTGTGTGTTGTTGCTGCGTAGCATTTCCCACAGCTGCTAAACACAGACTAGCAAGTTTATCTCCACCAGCGTGAAGTTGTTCGACTACTGCTACACCAGGTTCAGAGACAACCGACTGAGCCGGTTGACTTACTGTTGACTGGGGACCATTGCTCACTGTAGTCTTTCTACTATCCTGTAATATAAATAACACAAAGAAAGAAAGAAAGAAAATATTATTCAATGTTACCCTGTGACGCGTTTCGTTCTGTTTGAAACTCATCATTTGAGTTCACCCACTGCTCAGTATGTGATGCGCTCGAAGCTATCATAAATTGCTTCATATGTCAAAGCGCCGTGCCATTGTCCTACTGAGCCATGAGAACCACCTCTTGTGGTGCAACGGACAGAATTTATTTGTATTTATACACACTGAGGGTTAAATAATCATGGTAATATTACAAGCATCCATTCAAGGAGCTCATATGCTCACTGCATGTGCAGTGTACTACATCTCGTTTTATCACTAACAATATTAAGTGAAGTAATTTCCGTTGTAGACCACGAGAATTCACTGAAGCATATTCAACTAGGAATTCAGAATTCAAACGTTGGTTTCTGTATATACAGCTGATTGTTGTGAACGCCTTGACACTATTCACATCAACCAGTAGTGGCTGCTACTTTGCTGAATTGATATCATAAACGACAATAGTTGAGGCAAGTATAAATGTGTATTGGCACAAACTGCTGGTCGATATGAGTAGTCACCCCTTTCTAAGTGTTAGTTTGTGGGGATCTGATTAGTTTTATGTTTGATCATGGATTAATATCAGTTAAAGAACCACTGGAAACCAGGGAATACTTACTGGATAACTACTAATTCGTCCTATTGCGGGACTCTTCAAACTTGATCAAACTTAAAACCAATTAAATCCCTACGAACTAACACCTGATAATTATTCTAACTAAAGGTGACTGAGCTGTCTGAAGTTCCAGTGAGAAGTCATGACCAGTGCGGCCCACTAGGTGGAGTGTGAGGTAAAATACTCGCCAACGACACAGGTAGCCCGTCACGCTACATCTTGCGAATTGACAGAAGTTATCATCTCCGCTGAGGTAACTAGATAGAACTCAAGTAGTTTGAACTGATACAGCTCCTTCAAAGACCAGTAAAACAGCTCATCCGGTGATTAGGTGTCATTTACACTTGACTAGTAAGCATCACTGTTTTGACATGAATGGTTCCCAACCGACTGCTCATATCAATCAATAGTATGTATGCCACCATACAATTAAGACTTAAAACAGAATAGAAGCATCACACTGGTCACACTTCAATCACTAATTTGACGTATTATTTCACGTTTACAACCATGGTAGTACTGTTGTTTATTATTATTTTCTTAAAAGCACCCCTAAATTATCCCAAATCAATAACTTTTGTCCATGTTTCAGTCCGTACACAGAGGAATAACTTTATACCTAATTGAAACGAGAAAAATGGGAAGGAAATATAGAGACCGCGTTTTGACTAATTTTTTTCTTTTGCTATTTAGTCAGTTGGTTTAAGTCGATCAACAAGTATCAACTTTTTTCTATTGCATACAATAAAATTAGAATATACATGCGCACAGATACATACATACAAACATACATAAGTACACACACAGGGGGACAAACAGAATGGAAAAAAGTTCCCCGCTGTTTTAACCCTGTTTTCCCCAGTGTTCATTTATATGCATATAAAATTCATATTAAGTTATCTACAACTGCTACACAGAAAAGTAAAAACGATCAATCATCAGATTTACCCATTTTCCATCCCCTTAAATCATTAGCACTACAGTGTTAACTATGCACAAATACACACACGCACTGTCAATCACAACTATGACTAGAAATCATGAATGAATTGGAAAGTTGACACGTGGTGTTTCACTGACATCTAGCAAAAAGCAAATTGTCACAAGTGTGTATTAACTTTAAAAGTAACTTGCTTGATGGAGGCTAGCAGAGGAAATCGAAAATGCACATTTCGTCCAGATTAGAACTTGCCTACATCCCTCCAAGTGAGTGATGGTATTATCACCGCCACAGAGACTCGAACTCTGCACCCAATCCTTTCAAACTCCAAAGCACACTATCCACTAAGTCTCAGTAAGGCTACGGGAGCGAGTCACCCTCTTGTTCAACGGGTACTAGTGTTCTTATTTGTTTTCAGGTTGTTAATACGGGACATTTTTGGTTATGTTGCAGATATGTTGAACCGAAATTCTAACCCCTTAGATATCGATCGTCAAAGCATTTACAGTAAGAACCGAAATAACAACCACACAGATTAAGCATTTCGGTGAAACATAATCAATCAGTGGGGAAATGCAAACATTAACCTGAGAACAAATGATTTTAAGACTTTTACTTTTTAATCTCTGCGTAGTTGACAAGTGCGCGTGCCACTCCTATGAATCAAATTCCCATAATTTGTAAATTATAAATAACAGCATTAGGTGGAGAATATTCAGCACAGTTTACCTTTGGAAACCGAAATTATTCAGATCACAATAGTGCTAATAAAATGAAGTCCTGTCTTCACTGCTTACTTCTACTGCCAGTTTCTTGGTTTTCGAAGTTGTGTGACATTACACATAAATCGTCCACACGTGAAATCCAGATCTTATATGGTCTTCATATCGGTAAAATACAGTGTATTCTTGTCTCCTCTCTCCCCACGCACAGTCTGATGCACACTTAATCCAGTCCACCACAATTAGGAATATCATCGTGTGTGATAGTAGATAGGTAGCCTTGTCTTACTCCTGTATTTGCTTCAAAGGCTCCTTCTCTAAGTTTTCCGCTGTGGACCACCTGAAAAGTGGAATCATCATACAGCTATTCAATGAGGTTAATCAAGATCTGCGGCATTGCACGCCATAGGGTTGAAGTAGTTTCCAAATTGCTTCTTAGTCAAGGCTGCCGAAGGCCTTCTCAAAGTTGATTAAGTTAAGGTAGAGGTTTGACTGCCATTCAATGCTTTCTTCGATGACAATTTGTAGAGTTGCGATTTGATAATAATAATAACAATTTCGCCTTATTCCAGAAACAGTACTTGTGGTACAGTGTGTGATCAGTAAATGATTTGCATTTCCTTAATCCAGTCAGCTTGTTCCGGGTGGAGTTCTGTATCCAGTGCATCTTTTCTTCTCTCCAGGATGATGCGATTCAGTATTTTACTTGGCGTAGACAAGAACATTATTCCACACCAGTTCTTGTAGAGGTCTAAGTCGCCCTTCTATAGTAATTTGACAAGGTATCCTTTCTTCCAATCGGTAGGCGCCTTTCCTTCTTTTCAAACCTTTGGCATTAATGACGTGAGCACATCTGCCGTAATCTCTGGGGTCGTCTTCAGTGCTTCGGGAGGAATTCCGTTTGGTCCTGCTATCTTCCCGGACTTCAGTAGCTTGATCGTATTCAGAATTTCTGCTTTCGTCGGAGGACTGGTGTCCACTGGTAAGCAGTTCTGTGAGTACTGTTGATGGTGGTGTATTTTTGGACGGGTTGCAGGTGATGGTTGATTCAAGGCTCCTTTGAAGTGATCAGCCCATAGTTTTGTTTTTTTTCCCTCCTTGGTTACCTTGAACATCTTTTATAGGTTTCTGCTGTGTCAATGTTTTCCCCCGATAAAGACATGGTTATCTGGTATAACGTTCTGAGGTCTCTATCACCTACCTCTTTTCCCGGCTAGAAAACTAGCGAATTAGTAAAATAGGCAACAGCTGCCTCCGAGGGCTTGATACTGAAAAAATAGTTGGCCGATAAGAAGGGATTAGCAACAAGGAATTTCGGTAACGAACCAGGCAATAATCCATAACCCAACAAATGTGCAGAAGAAAATAGAGATTGATCGAATATACGCTTAGGAGACCAGTGAATTACATTACGCGCCAGGCAGACCACTGAGTGGAACACGAATCGGAAAAGACGAGTTGAGCGTCGGTTCGAGCATGACATGGAGGAGATGAGAGCTTATGGGTAATGATGGAGCCAGCTAAAAAAGACTAAAGAGAACACGGTGTAGTGGAAATGTGCTGTTGGAGCCGTTTGTTCCTATTGGGACCCTAAGAAGTTATAATAATAGAAATACAAATCTATATCTAACTGATCTCCCTATTGACGAATAAAATTTACCACGGAATTGTTTTATACTAATTTATTGTGTAGACAACTAAGGGCATCAATTTAAACTTGGACAAGGTAATAATTTAAGACAAAGGAAACATAAAGAACGCCGGAGAATTCCTGCAGCCCCCTCCCCACCTCTCAGGGTAGACATATGGACATAGAAGAGATTTAATTACTAATCAATAAAAATGTCAAATGTCAGGCCAAAAACAGGAACAATAAATAATCATTTACATGAATACGTGGCCATAAGGAAATCCTATGGGAAAACCCAATCAAAATGATGATCACAAGAGAGAAACAAATAATAATTCATTTATGAGGAATTCCCAAAGCTCAATATTTGCACTTTTGCAGTTAGTGCAGTAAAGATGTCCACTAGAAGGATGATGAATGAGAGCTTCACGGGGAACACATAACACCGAAAAATTTTCGTATTGATTGTGAATATGCGTGCTTCTTCCCCAATTTTAAAAAGTTATTTCCGCACTCCTTGCTTTCCCAGTGTGTGTGTGGAACAGCTAAGGTCTCACGCCTGAGCTCTGAAGTTACAGTAGCCATAGGGTTGTTTCGTTTTACAAAGTGGAATAGTTAATCTCATCTAGCCCAATACATCTGTAGTTCTGGGCTTGCTATCGGCTAGTAAAATAAGCGAGGTTTTCAAGAGTCTGTTGGCCGGAAATCGAACGCAGACCTCGACGTATGACTAGCGATAATTATACTAATGAACTACCGATGGACTCCAAAATTATTGAGCCCCAAACTATTATTATTACTAAAACACAAACTCCGTACATTGTGGGCACCATGAGGTCGTCATAGTTTGTGCAAAGGCTGGGATACTACTCTGACGCTCAGACTGAAGTAGGTGGTTGTCCACCCCGAAGCCTTTGACTTAAAGTCTGATCTACATGACGGTGGAGGGGGGTGCCAAGAGCTATGTTCCTATGGTTTCGAGTGACCAAAGCATGTTTGTACCCGGAAGGCTTAGTATTCGAATTTTCCAGCTCCCCG